TGAGAGAGCGTGAGAATTTGCATGTGAGCAGCGCATATTTGAGAGCTCGCAAGCAGTTTGGTCCACAAACAGAGGAAGTTGGTGCACGAGCATTATATTGAGAAAGCTGTTCATCATGCTCACTTTGTGCAGAACAGTTTTGTGTTGTGAACCACTTGAATTTAGAGTGAATAGAATAATGGCTACAATAAGAAAAAGACAACTGCATCTTGTCATGGCATTGGAGTTTACATATCAGCCTGTTGTGTCTAATATGAATATAGTCAAGCTATTCAGAGCTATTGCCAGATAATCACTTTACCTCTACCATACTTTCAACAGATCATTTGTGATTCCGGCTCTTATACTTTCTTGCATTGTCTTGAACCTTCACGTTGTCAATTAGATACTATATTGTTAGTAGCCTGGAGAGGTCACAGTCATTCTGAAACATCAAATCACTTTCTACTGGATGTAAAATGCTCTAAAGTACATTTGGTCATTTTAGAGTGTTGAGTTCTAATTCTGTAGTTATTTTGCTGAAAGTAACTAAAAAGTAATATAAGAGTCATGTAAAATTTTACAATTCTAAAACAGTAATATTGTAATATAAGGGATTACTTTTAAATAACAGTAACAAGTAATCTGTAATGTATTACAGTTTGGAAGTAACTTGCACAACACTGATCATGACTACTGTCACTCCAGCAACATCATTCATGACAAGTGAAATGGCGATGATTTATAATTAATTAAAGAAGAAAGCTAAGAGAAGCGATTTTTTTTTTTTTAATTATATTACAATTTATTCATTCATATTTTTTTTTTTCGGCTTAGTCCCTTTATTAATGCGGGATTGCCATAGCGTAAAGAAGCGCCAACTTATCCAGCACTTTTTTTTTTTACGCAGCGGATGCGCTTCCTGCCGCAACACATCTCTGGAAAAGATTATATTATACAATACTTTTTTTAAATGATGACCCACAACATCAGTTGAAAACTACCGTTATTTTAACGGGGAGACTGACACAGAGGGATCCATTTTGCAGTATTTATTAAATCACAATCAAGCACAAACATCCAATACGCACAACAGTGCGAACACACACATCAACAGTAATCAATCAAGGTCGTAGGGCTGGCAACTGACAGACACAGAGTGATTTACCAGGCTTAGATCAGTGGCAGGCAGTGTGGTTCAGAGTCCTTATAGCAGGTGTGGGCCGAGGGCAGGCAGCGTGGTTCAGAATCCGTGTAACAAGCGAGGGTCGTGGGCAGGCAGAAAGCAACTCAGAGTCAGGAACAGTCCGGAGTTATGCACAAGAGATCAGGCGGGAAATAACGCTCAGAAATGCTGGCCAGGGCTAAACAAGACTTTGCAATGAACAATGGTATGAGTGTGGCTTAAATAGGTGGCGTGGATCATTAACGTGATTCAGTTCAGGTGTTTGCACAATCAGTCTATGTGGATGATGTAATGCTAGAAGTCCGGGGATGGCGGCCTCTGCTGGCCAGCGAGGGGAATGACTAGGACCGAGTCGGTGACAGTTACAGTCCTGTTTTTGATTACAATGCATTGCTGGATCAGAGGACAATATGCGTTTTTACACCAGGTTGGTTCATAATGTTGTTAGAATATCATAAGACTCACATGCTTATCTATATATTCTTATAAGGGTATATCTATTTCTCACACACACTCGCACACACACACACTCCCTGTCTCGCATAAGATCCTCTCATCTATGCACTCTCTGCACACACACACACACACACACACACACACACACACACACACACACACACACACACACACACACACACACACAAACTCACTTCCTTAAAGTACACGACACGCAAACCTGAAGTATCTATGCACACACTTGCTGGACCGGAAATCCAAGATAGCAAAGAAATGCAATTAGCCTATTTCCTGTATTCTCCACGTACGAGTGGGTGCAGCCACTGAAATCTTTTTGGCTCGAGACTTCTAGTCTCATTTATTTTTATTGATTTTAAGACATTATAAAGCACCATATATTTTCATGCCCTTTTTCATGCATTTTCATATTTTTACAGACACCTCAAGTCTTCCAGAAGCTCCATGAGTCTTCCGCATATTGATAGAAACTCCCGGATGCTCTCAAATGAAATATAATGTCCCGTAAATGGACCCTACTACTTTGGCCAGCTTGCAATGTATGTTCCTTAGCCATTTGACAGTTCATCCAGCCTGATCTCACGAGAAAACGTAAGTATTTTACGTTTTGCCAGATTAGTGGCTAATTCGTACGAATTCTTACGATTTCAGTCGTACGAAATGATACGATTTTAAAAAGGAGGCGTGGCACCTGACCCCACCTCTAACCCCAACCGTCATTGGGGGATGAGCAAATCGTACTAAATTGTACGAATTAGATCGTACGAATTCATACGAATTAGCCACTAAATGAAAAAGTTACGAATTGCCGTGAGATTGTGTTGGTTCATCAGTATTTACAATAAGCTTGTATTAGTTAATATGAGTTAATGTAGTTACAGTTTATTAATTGATGTTAACAGGCATGAATTTGGATTTTAATATTGTGTTTGTCAATGTTGAACTACAGTATGAATAATATTTTGTGCAAGTCTTTATTATTGGTTGTGAAACCTTATTAAAAAGTTAACACTATAAAATTCTCTATTAAATGTATGGCAATAATATAATCAAAGGGTTTCATTTGAACTTGTTCATGTGGTTTATCTTTTATATCAGCTTGCTACATGCTAAATATTTTATAGTAAGGACACATAGTGTGTGGTTTTAGTACAGTCCAGTACATTTCTCCACACAAATGTGTTGTTCCTGAAAATATTTTCATAGCAGACTAATCAGAGTACACATTAAAGAGGTTTTTTGTTTTGTTGGGAGGGACTTTAGGCAGTTAGGCTTCTTTAAGCAGTATATATAGCAAATGTGACTGCACAGACACACACAGAAGACTAGAGAGTGAAGCTGAAGTTCATCTCAGGATCAACATTTACCAGCAGTTTCAGGTAAGTTGTGTATTTTACATGTGGGTAAACTTTTTAAAAGCAAACGTAATGTAATGAACTGCAGTGGTTATGCTGCTAATCTTTCAAAGATTCTCTCATGTTTACTACACAAATAATATTTGATTTTATAACTTTTCCATCAATTATTCTACAAATTAGGGATGAGAGATTACATTTATTTATGACAATACTGTGATTTAAAAAAAGACTGCAATTACAGTGGACGTAAAAGAGTAGTCAAAGATAAAGGACAGCTGGCATGCAAGTTGTACTTTAACCTACAATTTAAATAGAGCAATCGCCAAAACCCATGTAACACCAACCACAGCAGTAAGCCAACAATCTGACACGTTAATAGACTCTGCTGATTCTTCCTCTAACAAACGCCCAATGTAGTGCAGGCTATTGTATTAATTATCAGAATGTTCACTCATTAATTTTCACTCATCTTCAGTCATCATGTCAGCACTCTACTAGAAAGGAAAGGCACGTTCACATTTTACTGAATCCAGCACCTCATATTTGGTATTGCTTCGTGATGACATCAATACGATTTGGATTAAAGACAAATTATATAAACAATTCTGAGTCAGTTTTTTTTTTTTTTTCTGAGAATTATTAGTTTTAATCACGGTTTCAGATTTTATCCTCAGCTGGCTGTTTTAATTCACTTAGAGCTGTGTTACAGACTGCATAGCAGGTCATTTTCAAAAACCCAAAATAGGGGCTCTTAAAAAAATGTTGGAGTAAATGACAGGACTTTCATGGTTGGGTGAACTGTACCTTAAGAGATCTTTTTTCCCTTTCAGATGGATACCAGACAAGGACTTCTACCTTCATTTGGTAAGTATATTTTACAATGAATTTGAACAACATTGCTATTATTTTTCAATAAATGTTTTATAAAAACTTGTAATTAAAAATATATTTACCACATTTACTGCGTTTTTAGGGGTGTAAGAACAATTATCCAGTGTATCATGATTGTGTCTGCTTCCAATATCACACATACACAAACACACACATGACATAACACGACAACAATAAATAATCATATGAACTTACATTTCATTAGTTAAATGAGTTTTATTGCACAGTATATTCTGGAAAGCAATATGACTACCAGGTCATTTAAATTAAACACTAATAGTTTAATTTATCTAATAATCAAATTGTTCTGTTACAAAACAGAGGTGCTTTTAAGCATATGCATTTATTATATGTGTTCATTCCAGCCAAACTACAAGAAAGAAGACTTTTTCCAGAAGAAAAAAATATAACTCGAAATATTATGAAAAATGTACTCTGTTAAACAACACTTGGGAAATATTTGAAAGAGACAGGAGGACAAATACTGTATGTTTCAGGGTTAGATTAATTTATAGTTTCTAATGATGAGGCTGTGGTGATCATAATTTTCTATTTTCTCATATATACAGTGTTCAGCATAAATGAGTTTTAATAAATAAAAAAAAACAAGAGAAACATAAGAACTATTTTTTTTTTCAATAACTGTTTTTTTTTTAAATGGATTATTTTCTATTCCTAAAGATGTTAGGTGCATACACTCAAATTTTAAAAGATTTTACTTTTTTTTGTCTTAAATTCTTCAACAGTTATTGGCTGTATTCACAGATAAATTGATTTTAAAAAATCGTTTTTAAACAAGGGTATACTTAATTATGCTGTGCACTGGATGTAAATTTCTTAATATTTTAATCACTGTAACTGATAATCACTGTCTACAAAGAGAGAATAAGATATTTCACAGAAACGGAGTTAAACAGGAGGTTTGAGAACAATAATTATCATTAACTGCCAGAAGCAACATCTGTCTTGCTTTTTCTCTCGTTTTCTGTGACTTTAGTAAACGACTGATTTTGTCATACTCTCTACTTTCACATGCTGATTTGTATACTCATACTGATCACTGCTCCATTAGCAGATGTTGTTTATTCTTCTTCCATATTGTCACTTTTTAGCATCATTTTTAGAAAAACATGGATACAAGGTGAAGAAAGAATATGAAGCAGGTGTGTCAGGAAAGGTGTTTCTGGTGAAGGACAAGGATGAAGATCTCTGCATAATCAAAGAGATTAACTGTAGAGATGTAAGTACTATCAATGATATAAACAAACAGTTTATTATTAAGATGCTTTTATTTATTTAAATGCTGTAATCCTAAATTTAAGCTCTTTGATTAAAAATGTTCTTAATAGGCAAAGATCCTTCAAGAAGTCAGAAAGGAAGTTGAGATGTTGAAGACCCTAAGCCATGGATATATAATTTCCTATGTGGAGTCATTTGAAGGTGCGTTTGTTTAAATGTTCAGAGGCTATGGGGAATGGTTATAATCCTTTACTGTTTTATATTTGATTTTGAGGTTTGAAAACTGAATTACATATTGTGAAGGAAGCCTTTATATTTGCAAATAGATTAACTCTTATTTATTAATTATTCTTTCTTTAGATGAAGAAACTGGATTCTTTTATATTGTGATGGAGTATTGTGCGGGAGGAGATCTTAGCAAGAGGATGAAAACACAGAAATATTTTTTTGAAGAAGAGCAGGTCAGTGTCTTAAGTTGGCAAATGTGTTACACTTTTAGCACAGATATGTATAAATTAGGTAAATATGTCAGTTGGGACAAGCAAATTGGTCAAGTGCCTGTCATAGGAGCTTGATATAAAAAATGAAAATGAGAGAAAGTAATGAGTGCTTAATATAAAAAGCATTCAAACTTGGTCAGATTGTACTTTTAATACACAAAAGAAGTCACTGTCATTGTCTCATGTCATTATTATTGTCACTAATTTCAACTTCCAAATAAGACACAAATTAATTAATTAATACAAATTAATACAAATTATAAGCAAACCAAATACTTGAAGCCCCTGAGATGTTGTTTACAAGCACTTAGATGACGCACTTTGCTTTAGCCCCTGTATTCATCACTGAAAGATGTCGGGGCAAAGCAGTGGCGCAGTCGGTAGTGCTGTCGCCTCACAGCAAGAAGGTCGCTGGGTTGCTGGTTCGATCTTCGGCTCAGTTGGCATTTCTGTGTGGAGTTTGCATGTTCTCCCTGCGTTTGCGTGGGTTTCCTCCGGGTGCTCCGGTTTCCCCCACAGTCCAAAGACATGCGGTACAGGTGAAATGGGTAGGCTAAATTGTCCGTAGTGTGTGTGTGTGTGTGTGAATGTGTGTGTGTGTTTCCCAGAGATGGGTTGCGGCTGGAAGGGCAACCGCTGTGTAAAAACTTGCTGGATAAGTTGGCGGTTCATTCATTCCGCTGTGGCGACCCCGGATTAATAAAGCCGGACTAAGCCAACAAGAAAATTAATGAATAAATGAATAATTAGAGTCACAGCTTCTCCAGATAGGGCATTATCTTAGGAATCGATTGGGTCTGTGTCTTGACCCTGATGAATCGCTTTGAAAGGGATTGCTGAAACTGGATCAAATCTAGAGGTTGTTTCATCCTGGATGGATAGGATTGTTTGCATAGCCCTTCACTCAGTTACAGCCTCAACAGAGTGATCACAATTGTCACGTGATCACAGAACACTGAGCTTGCCAGAGTTGACTTAAGGAGGTTGTTCACTTGTAAATGTAAGTTTGTCCTGAACTCCATCTTTGTCGACAGTTTAAGCCTCAGAAATCAGACTCCCATACTGCTTAGTTATGAGCCTATGAGCAATGGTTTGCGCGAATGGATCATGGCTTAAATCGTCAGCTGCAATGTTATTACTTCTAACAATCTGCTTAAGGTCAAAAGTAAAAGCAGCAAGCATAGATACCCAGTGCTGTTCACAAGCATTGAGTTTAGCTTTCGTTAATATACAAGTTAGAGGGTTATTGTCGGTCCACACTGCGAATGTGTGGCCCTTTAACCAGTAACTAAATTTTTCACACACACACTCCAGTTTAAGGCTAAAAACTCAAGCTTGTGCACTGGATATCTCCTTTGAAATTAGTTAGGGACTTGCTTGCGAATGCAATGGGGCATGTCTTTTCTTCACCAGCTGGTATCTGTGACAGCACAGCACCAAGTCCTATCAAAGAAGCATCAATTGACAGGATTAGAGGAAGAGAGAAATTGTTATGCACTAAAACCACACTCTACACCAAACTCTCTTTCAACTTAAAGAAAGCATTACCACACTATGGAGTTCAATCAACTGGCTTCAGTTTCCGATATGTGCCTGCCTTAGCCTCAGTTGTTTTTGTTATTCTTTTCTGTTCAACTGTTAGGGAGAACAATGGTCTAGCTACTGAATAGCAATTTGGAATAAAATGTTGGTGTAGAGGATCATTTCCAAAAAATGTAATTCACCGCACAGATAAAGCACACCCATCCTCTACCATGAGGTAATTTTTTGACAGCTTGGCTATGACTTTGACCTTTGAAGGATCAAAAGAAACGCCATTTCCATCAATTCAATTCAGTTCACCTTTATTTGTATAGCACCTTTACAATGTAGTAGCCAAAAATTCCTGTCCCATAAAATGTCAGAATTTTGTATTTTGTGTTCCAGTATTTGACTCACAGGATGTTTCTCACCTCTTTTGCATAGTGTCATTCTTGCCTTGCGGCAATAATTCTCCCCTATTCACGTTTGCAAGTAACTTACTCGTGTTATTAGGCTACGTATTTCTGTGTGAACCCATCATTAGATGCTAATATGTGTAGTTGGCATCAATTACAGCAGCTTTTTCCTCACTAGTTTTGTTACGGATATTCATTTATAAATTAAGCACTGCCTGTGCCCTTGTACAGTGAATGTGTTTTGAAAAAAAAAAGTCTATCTATATATCTGTCTGTCTGTGTAATATGACACTAAATTAGAGTTTAGAACATGTCTCCTTGTTTCTTATCTTTATGTAGATTCTTGACTGGCTGGTTCAGATTTGTCTGGCCCTGCAGTACATTCATGAGAAGAAAGTTCTTCACAGAGATATAAAACCTCAGGTATGAACTAACACATTTACGCTCAGTGCATCATGACACAAAGCCTGATCTGTTAATTTTATGATGTTTCTGTTGTTATTGTAGAATCTTTTCTTGACTGAAGAAGGCTACATCAACATAGGTGATTTTGGATGCTCAAAAGTGTTGGACAGGTAAAAACAGAAACATGATCTAATGATGCACCAAAAGGACAATTATTGGCCAAAACCAGCACTTTGTGGCAAAGTAACTCCAACACAAATATCTCTATTAAATTCATCTTTATAACTCTAGAGTTTTTACAATGTAAATGGTGTCAAAGCAGCTTAACAAAGAGATGAAGAAAAGATATTTTAAACCTCACACATGTGGCTTTTTTCCACTACATGGTGTGGGGTGTACCCTCTAGACTCACTAGAGTGCACTCCGGCTATATGAACGCTCCACCAGTTGAACAGTGGGTACTTCAGCTAATAACTCCTGATAATATGTGAGAACAGTTTTGCCATAGGCCAGTGACAACCTCCTTTGTCAAAACTGTTCTTTCATCATTATCATCATCTTCTTCTTAACAATGTTGGGCTTACTCTTTAAGCATTCTTCTCACACACTAAACACAACTTAGATGTTTTGTAATCTCCATTCTCATATGTTGGTATTTCTAAGATAATGTAGCTGAAACTGAATATACAGTTGCAAGAAAAAGTATGTGACCCCTTTGGGATTTCTTTGATTTCTGCATAAACTGGACAGAAAATGTGTTCTGATCTTCATCTAAGTCACAACAATGCTTAAACTAACACCACATAAATATCATAAGTCTTCATTTTTATTGAACACAACATGTAAACATCCACAGAGCAGGGGGGAAAAAGTAGGTGAACCCCTAGTCCACAGGTGTCAAACTCCGTTCCAAAAGGGCCGCAGCTCTGCACAGTTTAGTTCCCACCCTAATTAAACACACCTGATCAAACTGATTGAGTCCTTCAGGCTTGTTTGAAACGTACAGGTAAGTGTGTTGGAGCAGGGTTGGAACTAAACTGTGCAGGGCTTCGACCCTCCAGGGATTGAGTTTGACACCCCTGCCCTAGTCCAATTATTTCTCCAAGAGCTAATTGGAGTCAGGAGTCAGCCAACCTGTAGTCCAATCAATGTGATGAGATTGGATGTGTTGGTTAGGCTGCCCTGTCTTTTAAAAAATAAAAAATAAAAATAATAATAATATATGTCAAGACATACTGCAGAAAAAATTTAAAACCATCTGCCTGCCAACTGAATGTCAACAGAGGCTGGGTGATGCCATGGGACAATAGCGTAAAGCATAGAAGTAAATCGACAACAGGATGGCTTAAAGATAAAAACATATCTTCTGGAGTGGTCCAGTCAGATTCCTGACTTCAACCTGACTGAGATGCTGTGGCATGACCTCAAGAGAGTGACACCAGGCATCCCAAGAATATTGCTGAACTTAAACAGTTTTGTAAAGGGGAATGTTCCAAAATCCAGCCCTGCAGGTCTGATCGGCAACTACAGGATATGCTTGGTTGAAGTTATTGGTGCCGAAAGAGGTTCAACCAGTTATTAAGCCCAAAGGTTCACATACTTTTTCCACCCTGAAGTGTGAATGTTTACATATTGTGTTCATACAACATGCAAACATGTATTATTTGTATGGTATTAAATTAGGAAGACTGTGTTTTCCTATTGTTTTCGCTTAGACCAGGGATGGGCAAACTTGATCCTCGAGGGCCGGTGTCCCTGTAGAGTTTTGTTCCAACACTAGTCAAACACACCTGAACAAACTAATCAGTGTCTTCAAGATCACTAGAAAACTATAAGCAGGTGTGTTTGATTAGAGTTGGAGCTAAACTGTGTAGGACAGCGGCCCTCCAGGACTGAGTTTGCCCATCACTGGCTTAGACAAAGATCACCATGATTCACTATGCTTAAAAAAGCTTAACTATTAGTAAAATATTAGTAAAACTAACGATTAGTCTGTCTAAATGAATAACATAATGTTGTGATTAAATTAAAACCCCTGTTCAGAAACCCATCATTTTCCTGGTGTACGCTGAACATTTTAACTGCCGAGATTAGATTTTGGTGGATTCCTAACACAGTATATATTTTCAGTTATATCAGTTTGTGTTGGTGCTGATTTAGATTTTATATCACTGTTCTTTTCAGAGCTGAGGCATACGCACAATCCGTTGTGGGAGCAGATCTCTACGTTAGTCCAGAAGTTTATGAGAAGAAATATAACTCCAAAAGGTATAATGGTGAATCATATGAAACGCTGATAAATGCAGCATAATGGTACATTCACACCAGATGCGGATGAAGCATCAAGCGTGAGTGATTTACATGATAAGTCAATGATTTTGATGTATTGCCTGCAGTTGGTGTCTTGCCAACACAGGACGACAGCTCATCAAACTAAGACTGGCTCAGTCAGAAGCACCACTGAAAGTGGTTGTTATCTAGGCAAAGCTTCTGAAGGAGTTCTCACAGAGCTGGGTACACTTCTAAAGGATCTGAAGGACTCAGACATGGCGCCGAACGAATCTACGCTGTTCTTCAGCCTTTTTAAAGCCCACAAAGCAAAGCTGCTCTCTTGATCAATCCATGTTAGCCATTAGCAATAAAACTAGAGTCGCCACCGGGTAGACAGATGACCCTCCTATTAGGCAAAATTGCATCTATTGTGAGCTGAATTTGACATGCAAATGAAGCAAGTGAGCTTAAAATGTTCCTGTCTTTGTTTTTGCGTGAATATCGCAATCTATTCGTGCAAGCCACATCTGATGTGAACGTTCCATAAAACTTAAACAATGCTTGGTAAAGTTATGATGACTTGCTAACTTAATTGAAACTTTACAAGATAAACTTTTTAAAACAATGTGTTTCACTCCATCAGTTAGAGATTTTATTTATTTATGTAATTTTTTTTTTTTTCGTGCATGACTTTAGTGACATATGGTCATTGGGATGGTTGCTCCATGATCTCTGCATGCTGGACATATGGGTGAGTGTTTCTGTTTTTAATATTATTATTATTATTAATTATTATTATTAATTATTATATTTAAAAACACTAATAAACTATGGCCAAATAAGAATAATGTTAATTTAATTTATACTTGCTTTATGGCAGGGATGTTCAAACTTGTTCCTGAAGGGCTGGTGTCCTGCATATTTTATTTCCAACCCAAATTAAACACACCTGATCCAGATAATCAAGCTCTTTCTAGGTATAGACCTTTTTCATGGAACGCAAAATTATCTATTATGCTTTGCGTGGTTGAGAATGCGAAGAACTTCCGGTCGGCAGCTGATGCGTGTAAACAGTCACATTTGGACAGCTTTGAAACGACAGTTTTAATCTATTTTACCTGCTTTTAACGTCTTTGAGCTAAAACTGTTGTCCATCAGCAGCATCTCCTGGACTGATCATTTAAAGAAATGCGATCTAATAGGATGGAAAACGCTGCTGTGAGGCGTTTTCCCCTCGTTGTCAGACGGCATCTTCTGCAGTTTAAATGAAGCCCCATCATCGCTAAAGTCAACATTTTCTCTTTATTTCAAATAAATAACCAGCCTAAACAAATGTAATTCACCAAAATGTTTGACACACACACGTAGCCTGTACTGTGCCACTGACACACTGATTTAATAACTGTGACAAAGTGAAAATATAGGCGAGTGTCATTTCCAAATGACAGAAAAACACAAACCGTGGTAAAAATAACACACGAAATAAAACACAAACGGCTCGCGATTAGAATGAACAGCAAATCAGCAGCAGAGGATCAATAACAGACTTTTATTGCTCATTTTTGTAAATTGCACGACTTTCATACCTGTTAAGTTTCATGCCAGTACTCTGGTTTGCTCTCTCTGTGTGTGTGTGTGTGTGTGTGTTAAAGAGCCACTGAGCTAACAGCTGACAGGCCGGGAACACACACTGTATTTCTGACGGCAGACACGTGAACTAGGAGAACGTTTTTCTCATATTTCTGACGCGCTTGAACCACATGTGACATTATAACGGCTTTAACAGACACATTTCTAAGTTGTGTGTCACCAAAACACTCTGTTATCCATTAAAAACGTTATTGAAACCCATTTTCGGAGCGCAAATTACCAGTTGTACACGCTGTAAACGAAAGTTTTTAGCATTCTACCGGAAGACACTGGTCGCTATGGCGTCCGCCATGCAGCAGCCATGAAAAAGGTCTATACTAGAAAGCTCCAAGCAGGTGTGTTAAAGCAAGTTGGAGATAAACTGTGCAGGACAGCAGCCCTCCAGGACCGAATTTGAACACCCCTGCTTTATGGTCTACAAACTCTAACTAAAATTTGTTAAAACTTCAATTTAATTACAATTATGTTTAAGATTGTTTTTAATAAATAAAATAAAGTTAGTAGTACTAGTAAGAATACCTAGTACTAGTAAGATGTGCCTTGTTCCTGACAAAGTTGCAGATTGGATGACCAAGACATTTGGGTGTGTTCCGCTCACCTGATGGCCTATATCCAGCCCTGGCGTTACTCAAAACTGATTAGGCTGTGAACAAAATAAAATATGGAATGGAATTTATTAAATGTATACTGGCCATATATAAATAGTTGGGCAAAAAAAAAAAAAAAAAAAAATCTAACCCACATATAACAGATGCTAGAAAGAACTAGAAAACTATCACAAACTATCACAAAACTCAACAGGAGCGACATAGGGCTAAGCACTTAAAGCAAAAGAAACCAAAACTAATTTCATAAACTATAATCAACATATTTTCCCTGTTATATCAGTTGTTAGTCCTTCTAATACTCCCTCTTCATCACACATACCAACAAACTAAGCACTTGAGAGTTTGACTGACTGACAGTGCATTGACTGTTTTAGACTGTCAGACTCTTTACAACTTCAAAATATTTTTTCATTGTGTAAGCCAGGCATGTCCAAACTTGGTCCTGGAAGGCCGGTGTCCTGCAGATTTTAGCTCCAACTTGCCTAAACACCTGCATGAATGTTTCTACAAAGCCTAGTAAGAGCTTGATTAGCTAGCCCAGGTTTGTCTGATTGGGGTTAGAACTAAACTTGGCAGGACACCGGCTCTCCAGGACCGAGTATGGACACCCCTGGTGTAAGGCATCACACACAAATCTATTTATTCAATTATCAAATCATTATTTGTATACATGCATGTTTACACCATAAATATCTCGACATTGTTTGTAATGTCTGCTAAACTATATATCCAAGCTATATATACAAACTATATATATATATATATATATATATATATATATATATATATATATATATATATATATTAAGGGTGGAGCCGAACCCGAATACGGTATTCGGAAAGGCACGAATAGCGTGTTTTTACGAATACTTATTTCGAACAAATACTTGAAAAATTATTTGTATTCGGGAGCAAGAAAAACACTATATCAAAAAGCAGCGTTTCCTCATGAGACCACAGTG